TGATTAAATGATTAAATGATTAAATGATTAAATGATTAAATGATTAAATGATTAAATGATTAAATGATTAAATGATTAAATGATTTGGGAGATACAATAATGGAATAGAATTAGAAAATAAAGAAAAAAAAATGTAATTTGTATAATTCATGTAATATATATAGAATTAGAAAATAAAGAAAAAAAATGTAATTTGTATAATTCATGTAATTTATAAATTCCATCTTTATTATATTTATTGATGGTAGCTTTTATATTTTTATATTGTTATTTTATAATAGTAGTTATATTAATGCCTATTATCTATTTTATCATCATTTATTGTAATTATTTTATCAATTATTTATATGAACTTTACTTATTTTATATCATCAGTTTGTATAAATATGGAAAACATAACTACATTTCTATTTTATACATATGTTGTTATTTATTTTACATTTGGTTTATACATTTGTTTGTTATTTATTATAATTGTATTACTTTCATTAAGATTATAATGACTATGTATAATGATTTCATTTAATCATTCACCTATTTTCATCAGGATTTTTTAAAAAAGTCGAAACCATAAAAATATTTCCACTCTGTCCTCTCTCTTTTCTCAAGGTAATTAATGTGATTTAATTTTATACCATTTTATTCTATATTTCATAAATTTTTTTATTTTATTTCATATTTAGTTGATCCTATTCAGGGTCGCAGTTTCATAACTAAATTTGTTTCTTTTTTTATTATCAAATTATTTTATATATTTTTTAACCAATTATTTACTTTTTTATCATTATATTAAATAAAGTTACTTTTACATTTATCATACAAATTTTTAAATAATTTTATTGAAATTTACTTTAGTATGCTATTTACTATATAATATTAACAAGGATGTAATTATTTTTTTGAAAATTTGATAATATTAAATTGAGTTTAAAATTTTATGTCATTAAAATAATAAAAAATAAGAAAATAATAAAAAATAAGAAAATAATAAAAATAATAAAATAAACAAAAATAAAATAAATAAAAAATAATTTTGCTTCGTTTTAATTTATAATTGTTGAATCATTTGAACAACAATAATTACGATGATGATTTGAGAATAAGAATGATAAGAAGAATAAGGTATCATTGAAAAAAAAAGATACCACCATCATACAGCAAAAAGTCTCTTATAAGAAAAAACAAGTACATTTGGGATAAAGGCATCAATATGTATATATGAGAGATATACAATATATCAAACAATTAATTAATTAATTATAGATCCAATGAATTTAATTAAAATAATCAAGCCTTAATAATAATAGTCGACAAAGTGAAGTAGAAAGAATAAGAGATTTAAAAGGTTTAAGGATATTTTATATATTTAATATTTTATATGTTTTAAATATTGCCGTATTATGTTTTATAATAATAAAATAATTATGATTATATTAATAATAAATAATTATGATTATAATCATCACGATAATCTCTAGAGATATCTTATGTAACTTTTTGATTGACAAGTAGTGACTTTAGCACGTAAAAGAAAAGAATACAAAGATATTGTTCACAAGCTTATTCTAGGGTTGGATCAAACTATATGGGTATTAAGTCAATATATTTTATATTTTTTAATACTTTATTCTAATTAATTTATTAATTCAATTAATATTTAAATTAATTCAATATTGATATTAGATTAATTTAGATGTTATCACGAACAAATTATCTTAGTTATTATTTTGTAGTGGTCTAGAAATAGCTAGTGGTTTGGATGCTTTTGTTTCCAATCTCATATTTATGGATTCATCTACAGCAAAATGCATCTTCTTAATGTTAAATATGCTTTGCTTGTCCTTCTTCAACAAATGAAAGGAAACCAATAATGTAAATGGGAGAGCCTCAAGGCGAGATGAGTTTCATTTATAAAGTGGTACAAGTTAAATTAAAATTTTGATCATTAATATATATTATCTTATGATTCCAAAATCCGTCTGAATAATCCTTTCCCAATCATAAATTTCAATTGCCTTTGAAATAAACTCACTCTCAGTGTTACGATTTGAAAATTGTGCTGTAATGAATTTGGCTTATATGTAGAGCTCCAGTATCAACAAGTGTAGGTTGAAATTGTTGTTTTAGATTTGAGAGGATGTTGATTAGATTTGCCGAGTGGATTTAATATCCAATATTGTTGAGAAGACAGCGTTTGTGGATCAGGGAGTAAAGCTGAAGTTTTCTTGTCTTATAGTTTATAAATTTTTCTATCGTTATTTTCATTATCGATACAATATACAATATAGAAAACGTTTATAAGGATGTTTGATTGTAATTTTGATCAATAATACAACTCCTGATAAATGACTTAAAATTTTGCTTTTTGGATTGATTGTATTAATTAAATAGATTATTGATTATTAGAGTAATGAAAATATCGGAAGCGCTACGTTAGTTGATATATTGTATTGTCAAATGCGAAATTAGGATTCTTGTAAGTGTTAAATAATATTATGGCTCATTTCACCCTTTATATAAAAGTCGATTTCCTATTTTTTTACTATTTATATAGACTTTATTATCAAATTCTAAAAATTAAAGAACTAAAACTGGTCAACAATTTCAAAATACCGACACGTCGGGAAATGGAAACTGAATGATATTATTGCAGAAACGGCTACTTAGATTATAACGACACAAGATATGGATTTTGGCTTTTTGGAACAATGCAATGAATATTTATTTTGCGTAACAATAATAATAACATCGGTCTATGTGGAAAATTTTACCAAAAAGAATTAATCATTTATTAATGTCACAAATGTTAAAAATTGGAAATTTTAATATGTAAGTTGCATTTTTTTAATTTTTTTTAATATATTTTTAAATCTTCGGAACATTTATTAAATATAGAATTCTTCTTCATTAAGATGAAATTAAAACCTGATTCCTCCTTTAATTGATGACACGACTGATTTAATTTTGAATTTTTCATTGATATACGCAACGCGAAAAAAGAATCATTAACAAAGAAATTAGTACTATCTCATATGTATTTATATGTTGAAAAGGATACAAAAAAAAAAAAGCTTTTCAGGTTTATTATAAACTTACTGATAAAGGACCTCCTTGAATTCGGTGGCATATTGTCATGAAAATGGATTTGGTGTTGAAAGAAATGAAAAAAACGCATTTGAAACATATTTAAACACTACAAAAAAAGTAGCACAATTTAATTAGATGGGTGTTATGATAATGGAATATGAATAACAAAAGATGTAACTAATAAAGCATTTAATGGGAGAAAAAATCCGCTCTTGCTGGAAATGTTGATTCAAAAGAAGCATTTAATCTGAAGGCTACTGAAAAAGGATATTCTCTTGCACGATGTTTTTATGCAAATGGTTATGAAATAATGATCGAGTGAAGGAATTTGAATGGTTGAAAAAAGCTTCAGAAGATGATGATTTATGAAGAACGTTGGACTAATAAAGATATTGCAAAAGCTATATATGGTTGAAGAAAGTATAGGAAAATGGGAATCCTAATGAATTATTAGAAGAAACTATCGGTAATATAATGTAATAGTTATAAATTTAATTAGATATTTCTTTCACATCAAAGATTTTTTTTCGGCTAAATGTGTACTTTTTTCGAATACGTTATTGTTCACAAATCGTGTTCGCCCTCGAATTAACCGTCAATGACGAAAATTTCAAGATGAACGGATCTATTCGTTGTAATAAACATGGTCAACCAATTAAATAAGTAAATAATGTCAATATAATTTATATTAAATTAATCTCAATCAAATTATAAATATTGACCAAAATTTACAACTCTCGAATTACATCAATTGTCAATATATGTATTATCCTTATTCATTTAATAAATTTCTATTACTTCATTATAAGTTTTATTGTGTATGAAATTAGGATCTTCGATATCTTTTTGACTCAACTTTGAATTATTATTATTAGAACTCAACAATAATTAAGTAATATCTGAATTATCTAATGATCGCATCTTCATGAATTCTATCTTATCAATTGATAATCTTTCTCCTCTTTCTCAAATTTATTATTTAAGAAAATTATTAACGACATTATTATTCTCATCAATAAAATTTTTGAATTCAAGAGCCCAGTAATTTTAACAGAGATAAAATTATTGAGATAAGTTAATGCAGTATTAACATATCTTAAATACATGTTGATAATAAGGTTAGCACTTCTATTATATCTCACGCGAAAGTGACAAAGAAATGACTTGATGATGTATTCGTTTAATCGATTCATTGGTTGATTAAATCAGTAAATATATATATTGGAAATATTAATATAAAAAAAAAAATACTCTAAGAATTGTCCAAACTTCATTTCCCACTATATTATGTGGCGTGTAATATTACTATTATAAAAATTTTAGGCAACGTAATCAATTATTTGTATTTATTTATTTATTCTTCCCAAATGCCCACTTGTTTACTTGCTTGATTTTAAAATTTAATTTCTCAATTCACCCTCGACTCACTACTTGTTATTATTTTACCCACGAACTACAACTTTATTCTTATCTTTTATTCGCTTTCTTTCTTTCTTTGCTTTACATACCACTCTTAACTCTCAGTTTGTCCTTCTATGAAACTTTGTTTTCAGGTACTTTTACATTACATGAATATTTTTATTATCTATTTTGATTCATATCTGACTATGTAAAGCCATTCTATCTTTTTTCCTTGCCGTAATTTATAAAAAGCCACCAAAGCCAAATATACAAGAACATATTGTCAATAAAAGAAAATTACACTTTAATTGATAGATCTATGGTTATCTTTTTGATATACCTATAGTTATTTTTTTGATACTTTAAGTAACGTGCACAACTAATTATTCGATGATACGTTATATTAAGATCACGTGATAAAGATATATTAATCGCATCACGTTACTTAAAAATTAGTCTCAAAAAAATTGACCAAAAACGACACCTTTGCAACAACATCATTTCTCACAGACACACGGAAGACAACTTTTAAGGACAATTTCTCACCCATTATACCTATGCCCAAAACCATAATTAATCCGATTCATATCGTACGCTATTAAACAAGTAAAATAAACAAATTATGTGAAAACGTGACAGTCAGAATCACGGGATTGCAATTAATGTAAATAACGTGTCAGGATTACGTAAATATTAATAATCAGAGATCAACGATCACATATTATTTATAATTCATCCTTCTTCTCTTCTCTCTTAAACCTTTGATAAATTTAAAAAAACCTTATACAAAAGTTTTTTTATTTAGTTTAGCTTGTAAAAATGCCGTTGAATATATATAATTATCACTTTACTTGCTCCTTTTCACCTCCAACTACAGCTGTTTTTCGCCTTATTACCGTTGCTACTCTTGGTGCTACTTCTTTCACTTATGCTTTATCTTCCGCTTCTAATATTAATTCTTTTGCTCCTTTATTACTATTACTTATAATTTTTCTTATTATTACGACTCTTCTCATACTTATGCTATTTCCCCACATCACACGTTAACGAACAACATCGTTTCCCACAGACGCACGGAAGTCATTTACATCCCACCCCTTAAGGACAACTGCTCACCCATTATATCTTTACCAAATTTACTCCATAGTTCTTATCAAAACTGTACCTAATTAATTCATACCATAGCAATTAAGAGTTTGTTCTTTACTTTGTTGAACAAGTAAAAATAAACAAATAAAGTGAAAACGTGACAGTCAGAATCACGGAATGCAAATAACGTGTCAGGATCAACGATCACGTAAATATAAATAATAATAAACAATCAGAATCACAGGATCGCAGGAATCAAGGCAACGATCACATAAATTTAAATAATAATAAACAAACGAAAACGACTTTATTTATTATTATTCTTCTTCTCTTCTCTCTAAATTTCTTATTTAGTTTAGCTTGTAAAAATACCAATAAATAGATATAATCGTCACTTTACTTGTTCCGTTTCGCCTCCAATTACAGCTGTTTTTCACCTAATTACTATTGCCACTCATCTTCTGTTCCTTCTGGTGTTGCTTCTCACACTTATGCTTTATCGTCCGCTTCTAATATGGATTCTTTTATTCCATTATTACTACTACTTAGAACAATATCGTTTCCCACAGGCATACGGAAGTCATTTACATCCCATCCCTTACAATAACTTTAAGGACAACTGCTATTAAACCTTAACCAAATTTTCTCCATAGTTTTTATCAAAACTGTACCTCAAAGCCTAATTAATCCGAAGAAGCTGGCTGGTTCATACCGTACGTTATTAAGTGTTGGTTTTTTACTTTGTCAAACAAGTAAAATAAAAAATAACACAACCAGAATAGATATTATAAATTTTGTTGGATACTCTTTATCTTTAGCATATGGAATTCATGACGAAAATTGAGATTAGCTTCGAATATTGCGAACAGCGAATTGGGAGAACCTTGTGTAATTTGAATAAAGTTAAAAGTCCTTAGAGCGTAGAAATAAGTATATGGCAACGGGTAACTATTGGTATGAGAATACTCTAATGTAGACCATATGCCACATCGACAGTCTTCTTCCTAACTGTCGTAGTCGTAATTTCACATCCGCACCACCAATCGTCACCTGATATCACCGCAAAATTTTGTGATAAAATGAAAATAATGATGACCATATAATTGGGTGAATATTTTGATGTAAACGAGACAAAAATTAGAAGATGTTGGTAAATATTTTGAAGTTCACAATGGATGTGATGATATTGGTGTAGGTAAAGGATCTAACAAAGAATCTGATCAAGATCTGAAAAACATTTTGGGGATAATCTAATGGAGATGATAGAAATTATTATGAATGTGGATATTTTAATGATTTTGATGTGAAAATGTTGAATATATTGATCCTAATTCCAGGAGAAATGTAAGTATAAAAAAATATTCTTATTTTTATTACTGTATATTTGTATATATATATTACAAAAAGATTTATAAATTAATGAATTTATATTTTAATTCTAAACTCAAAATCACTGAGGATGAAATATGAAAATCAACTCTTAGCTTGAAAAATTACTTGAGAATGAAGGATATCATTGTGACCTAACTATTAAGCTAAGTACCTTTTCCATTTCTATTACTTTTATTTCTAATTTTGATTTTTATTTGATAATAATTTTATTTCCAATATTCTATTATTAATGATTTGTTATTTTAATTCTATTATTTTAACAGAATTTTTTTCTGCTAATTCTCTACCTCCACATTCTCTTCAATTTCCTCTCTACCTCCGTACTCCTCTCACCTTCACTTCCACACTCCACCCCTCCTTAAATTCCACCTCCATCTCCATCTCCACACCTCTACCTTCATCTCCACTTCCACACTCCCCCTCACCTCTTTAGGAAACCTTAAAAGAAGTTTCTATGTTGAAGGTCTACTACTAATTCTGAAGAAGGAATTAGTTTTGACCTTTGTAATAAACATAGAAATCTCTTTTCTGGAAGTACTTTCTTTTCCACCCTTACCACCTTCCTTCACCTCCACACACCACATTCCATCCTTCACCCCTCACCCCTCACCTACATACCTACGCTCCCCTTCATTCCTCCTACACTCCACCTACACTCTACCTCTATCTCCACCTTCATCTCCACCTACACTCCACACCTATACCCCACACTCCCCTCGCCTCTTTAGGAAACCTTGAAAGAAGTTTCTATGTTAAAGGTCTATTACTAATTCTGAAGAAGGAATTAGTTATGACCTTTGTAATAAATATAGAAATCTCTTTTCTGGAAGTACTTTCTTTCCCGCCCTTACCACCTTCCCTCACCTCCACATACCACATTCCATCCTTCACCCCTCACCTACATATCTACACTCCCTTACATACATCTACTCCACCTCCACCTACATTCTACCCACACTCCCCTCGCCTCTTTAGGAAACCTTGAAAGAAGTTTCTATGTTGAAGGTCTATTACTAATTCTAAAGAAGGAATTAGTTATGACCTTTGTAATAAACATAGAAATCTCTTTTCTGGAAGTACTTTCTTTTCCACCCTTACCACCTTCACTCACCTCCACACACTACACTCCATCTTTCACCTTGTAATCCCCTACACTCCACCTCCATCTCCACCTCCATCTTCACGCCTCTACCTTCATCTCCACTTCCACACTCCACACTTCCCTCATCTCTTTAGGAAACCTTGAAAGAAGTTTCTATGTTAAAGGTCTACTACTAATTCTGAAGAAGGAATAAGTTATGTCCTTTGTAATAAATATAAAAATATCTTTTCTGGAAGTACTTTCTTTTCCACCCTTATCACCTTTACTCACCTCCACAATCCACACTCCACCTACATATCTACACTCCCCTACATTCTATCTACAATCCATCTACACTTCACCTCCATCTACACCTCACCTCCATCTACACCTACATTCCATACCTCTACCTTCATCTTTACCTCCGTACTTACACTATACATTATAAATTATAATATTCTAATTATTAATTTTGTGATAATTAAGTAAAAAAATAAATACTTTGAAATTTTTTTAATTAATAAATTTGAAAAAATGATATTTGTAAATTTGTATTTTTAAAATCAATACAATAACTTCATAATAATCTTTCAAAAATTCCATAAAGATAATCGTTGTAAAATGAATTTATGTATTGCATAATATTAAAAAAAATAAAATAAAAAATTGCTTTAAAAAATTATCATGTAAATAAAAATTATCATGTAAATTATTAAACAACAACAAGAGATCTAGGTTGGAAGTATTTTGTGTTAAATATTATTGAATTTGATAAAAATTTAATAATTCCATTTAAAACAAAATTTATATATACAAATAAGCTTCTAATTTTAATACAAAAAGTATTATATGATAACCTTTGAATCAAATATTTAAATTTAACATACTAGATACTTTTGGCATTTGTAAAAATTATTTACATACACACAACATATTACAATAAAATATTTTAATCTTATTAATTTGTTATTGGCTTTTATTTTCATTTTATCAATTTCTAAATTGATTACTACTTAATGTCATATATGCTAGCCCAGCACATTGACAATAAAAGACACTTAATATGAGGAAGTGTCAATTCTTGAGTTTGTGTACTGTCAAGGTAAATGCATTATTGGAGGGGAAATGCATTTTGGAGGGAAAATTGGATAAAATATATAAAATATATAAAACATGATCAAATTCCATTAATTCTAAAACTGTTGTCTTTTGTTAACAAAAACTATAGCAATTCAAATTTTTATTTAAAATGAGAAATGTTCTAATATATTGACAATAAATGATTTGAAGTCTGTCATTTGGGTCATTTCAATTTTTAGTTTCAAATGACCAGGTCATTTAATTCAACTCAGCATATTTCTATTTCTATAGTAAATCTATTATTAATTATTATTATTATTATTATTTAATATTTATTTAACATACAATAATTACAATACCATATTTTTAATCTAAATTAATTAATGCATTCACAAAATCAAAGTGATTCAAAATATTATATTGAAACAAGTGGATCATCAGCAGAATCTTTATTTTCTAAAATTTTCATCTCCAGTTATACTCATTCAATTTTAAAAATTATTCATACCTAACATTTGTTAAAATTTTTAAATTAATATTTTAACAATCAACATTATAAATTTCTAAACTTATTATTTAACTTTACAATTTTTAATTGTATTATTTTTCAACATTATCAGAAAGTGTCCTTCCTTTCACATGAATAATAATATCACCTTTTTTAAATTTTTCCAAGTCATATTCATTATTTGATTCTTGAGGATAAGATGTTGTGAAAAAGAAATGCTAACAGCATTCACCACAAAGTTTATTCTTGTAAAATGTTTCATTGTACAGTGAACCCTCTATAAATGCGCCCTCTATATATAAGTGCATTTCTCTATAAATGGACCCTATACTCTAGTCCCGTCCACTGATAACATTTATAAAATTTTCCTCTATAAATGACACCCTAATGCTGATTCCCGGGAGGGGTGCATTGAATTTTATTTAATACATATATTTTTTTTTGTTTAGAGATCAAAAATTATCATTTATAATAATAATGACTCATGATTCTAAAAATATTTAATCTCGGGTAAAAATTTAATATATAGCCGAATTACGAATACTATTTAGGGAATTTTTACCTTTTCTATCATTCAATAAATAAATTAAAAATCCAACCAGATTACTGTTACATTATCATAATATCATAATTATATGGTAATCAAACAAATTAACGTGGTTTACCCGAAATTATACAATGACCATGTTGATGATTATATAATTATTATGTATGAATTAAAAAGGGGAATATATAGATTATTAAATCATGTGTTTTTTTTTTTTTTTTTTTTTTTTTTTTGAGCCACATAAAAGTGGCATCAAAAAAAAAAAATGAATTAAGCTTTTGTAGAAAAGAAACGGTAGTAAATAGTTGTAAAAAGTAATAATAATAATTTGTAATCATTAAGATGAAAGCACCCAAAAATAACAACCCCAACAATAATAAGGATGATAATAATAATGATTGCAATGTAGTTGTAATTGAGAGAAAGAATCCCGATAAAAACAACCATTACAATAATTACAATAACGGTGTTTTAGAACCCTTAACCGAATCAAATTATAAAATTTCAAAAAAGAAATCCAAAATTGACGAATTTTTGTTAGGATATCCGAGAGGTATTTATACAACTTATAACATACATCTACCTGCAAACATTTTTTAAAGTTTTAAAAAGAAAAGAAAAAAAAAATGAATTGGATTATATCAAATCAATTATAATGGATTATTTATGATTATTTGGAAACCTTTTTTTATTTTTGATTTATTTATTTTTTTTTTTTAAAAAAAAAAAAAATTTCAAAGGTGCTTACACGGTTGCGCGTACAATCAGAAGGAAAGCAGTAGTGGAACTTGAAGGACATATAAACCGAATATGTAATTCTTTACAACAAATTAAGTTTACTCCGTCTACTGAAAATTTATTAAACGGAACGCACAATAATTCAAATAATAATAATAATAATAACGATAATAAAAATAAAAGTAAAAATAAAAATAATAATAAAGAAAATAATAATAATAATAATAATAGTAACAATAATAATAATTATAACAATTATAAAAAAGTTGAAAATAGAAAAGTTGAAGAAGAAAAAGAAGGAGAAAAAGGTGAAGGTAAAGGAGAAGAAGAAAAGGAAGCCCCAAATGTTACAAAGCAATTGGAACCGTATAGAAATTTTGATAAATTAAAAGAGATGATAATTCCTTTGCTAAAAATGGGATTAAAAAAATATTATGAGATTGAAGAAGAAACTCCTTATCACATCAAAGGATTTGATGAGGCTAATATTACATTATTAGTTTGTTATTCTTTCAAGGTATATTTTTGATAAAAAGTAATAATTAAAAATTAAAATAATAATTTAATAATAATTTAATAATAATTTAATAATAATTTAATAATTGATTAAATTATTTAATTTATTAATTAAGAAATCCCGGCCTATACTTGCGGCACAAATCAGACCATTACGAGTACCGAGTTCTTCCAAATGCAAAGTATAATACATATAATATATATTTATATATAATATTTCATATTTTTATTTCTTTGTACATTGAATTAAAGAAAGAAATCTGTTTTTTTGTTTTGATCTTTAGGTTGACGTATATGGTGAACCTAGGAAATCTGCTCGAACCAAGGATTCTCAATGGGTGCGGTATGTATTTTATATTATTATCACACATTACTCAATTCACAATACATATCACGCTATTCACATCGTGCTCACACATTTTATACATTATATATTCTATATTCTATATTTATATATATATAAAAAAAATATATGTAGTGATCGTAAAGTATTTGAAAAATCTATGCATCCAGGATTTAATGAAGTTATTCTAACTGATCCTCATACTCACAATATATATGAAGGGTTGAGTTCGAATTTCTTTGCAGTTTTACATAATCCCGACACACGTCAACCTTTAGTTGTAACCGCACCTTTACATTGCGTATTGGAAGGAACAATTATGAAAATGGTGGTGATGATTTGTAAACGAGATGGAATTGATTTCAGATTTTGGTTTCCAAATATTGAAGATATTTCTCAATGGAAAGGAGCATTTATAACGAGTAATTATACAGAAAATATATTTCTAATTGATTATTATTATTATTTATTATTATTATTATTATTTATTTATTTATTATTATATATCACTATATTATTTTTTAGGTACTTCACGACTTGTTCTTCCAATTGAAATGATGCGATTTCGTGATGGAAGACCAATGGAGAAATTATCTACAGATGATGAAACAATTGTACACATTAAAAATGAAGTTGAAAAAGAAATTTTAAATAGAGCTTTTCGTATTTTATAATTTTGTAATTTTATAATTTAGATAAATAATAAAAATAATATTATACACAAATATATTTATTACATATTTTCAAAAAAAAAAAAAAAAAAAAGAAATGGTGGTTTATTAAAAATTATTATTTACATTAATTCATAATTGTAGAATTGTTATTAACATTAATTAATAATTATTGACAATATTAAAATTCGTTAACATTAATTAATAATCAAATTGTAATTACTGTAATTTAATGCTTACAATATCATAATATTATTAATTATTAATTAATAAAATGCTTATCATAATTTTTTCATAAAAAAAAAAAAGAAATTTGTAATTCTTATTTTGCTTACTACATTAATTGATTGATTAACTAATTATTCATTTCTATCGAAATTTATCGAAATTCTATTCATCTATATACAAATTATCATTGTTCTATTATATTTACATATATTAATTACTAATTATATTAATTATATTAATTATATTAATTAGACTAATTATATTAATTATTAATTAAATTATATTAATTATATTAATTATTAATCAAATTATATTAATTATATTACTTATATTAATTGTATTACTATTGAATATTATTGTATTAATTGTCATTATTATTATGATTATATAATCAAATGATTAAATTTTTCCTTAATCTATCAAAAAAAAATTATATTTACAAAATATGTTTCTTCGAAATATATTAATTATTATTATTATTATTATTATTATATTGCCTTTCATCTGATGAAATATTATTATTTCAATAAATGAAATTACATAATTAGTTATTATCATAATTCTGTCAAATTAAGCATTTATTAAAATGAGAAATGCTTACTTTATTTAATGCCCCCCCCCCCCTTTAAAAATAGACCCAAATTTATTGTCATAATTTAGACCTAATTTGATGTAAACCCAAATAATTTGTTGTCAACCACAATTTAAATCAACCACCACAATAGACCCTAATTTATGCTTCCCAATTTGTTATCAACACTGGACCCAATTTTTTTGTTGTTATTTCGTCAACTGTTCTTACCAACGTAATGATGTCATGTGTTATTGTGTTAGGATATTATTATATTATGATAATGATATTATTATAAAGTATTATTATTATTATTATTATTATTATTATTGTTGTTATTGTTATAAGATATTATGATGGTCCATTCCTCGGTGAAATTATTATTATTTATAATCTTATTATTATTTTTTGTGTAGTGAATAATTAAATTCATCTAAACACAAATTATAAAATTAAATTTTATAAAAAAAATTTATTCATCATCATCTTCCTCATCATTCTCTTCATCTTCCTCGTCATATTCAGCTTCATCTTTTATCACCGTCATCCTTTCTTTAACCATTCCCGGTTGTACGAGAATGTGTGGTGACATCTCAACCGAAAACGCCAAGTCACGAGCCGTAATTGTACGTCTTCGTTCCCCGAGAGATGGGGCTGTTGATGACCCCCCGGAACGAGTCTTCTGAAGACAATTTCCAATAACATTTTTAAGATGTGCCTATATTAAAGAAATGATAATAATTGTTATTAGTATTTTAATCTATTTTTTAATATTATATCTATTTCATATCTAATTTATATCTAATTTATATCTAATTTATAAATAATTTAATTAAACTAACCTCCAAACCATAATTAAGAATGTCTGCACATTCTTCAGATACATTTGCAAGTCCGTTGGCCCTTGCAATTTGAGTAATCATACCCAACAACATATTACGGTCCGGGAGTGCCATCATCTCAACGCATGTCGGGACTCGTGTCGAGCCTGCTACCATAAAAATATTTGATTATTATAATATTTGTTAAAATTAATTAATTATGAATTTATAATTAATGAATATCTTACATTGCAATACTTCTTGTGTTTCAAGATTAAAAGTTGGCAATTTTTCGGAGTGCGGTGGAGGAACTTGGACATTCTCGATGTGTCCCATACCCTATTACATTATTATTATATTATTATTATTATTATTAAATTATGTGATTATTATTATTATTAGATTATATGATTATTATTATTATTATTATTATTATTATTATTATTATTAAATATTACTCAAAATATAATTTGTAAACTCTTAAATCAAAATTAAAGTAATACCTTGAAAGATTTTATTCGTTTCCTATCCTCTTTCGGTAAAGACATGATCAATTCTTTTATTTTCTTTCGCTTTGGGTCACGGGATGCATCATCTTGGGTGCGATTGGCTTCTTCATCTTCATCTCGTCTCCTCTTTCTTGGATGCATGGATGATTGATCTGGTGGTGGTGGTGGTGGTGGATCCTTTTGCAAACAATTATTAAGAATTGCAAGTAATAACATATTGTGCATCTCAACTTTTTTATATGATTATATTAAATTAAATAAATTAATAAATTAATTAATTAGATTAATTATATTAAATATAAAGTTTAATTCTCTTAAATTAATTAATTCATTCATTTCGGTTTTATGCCTTTAAAAAAAAACTTACGATGCTCTTTATCAAGGAGTGGTCTAACGATACTCTCGAAATCTTGACGGCGAATTTTACAATAAAGGAGACGTTTAAACGCCGTCCAATATGTATTTGACTTCTCTCCTAAATACTCATTCATCCTTGTTTTTAAATCATATACATCAATTCGTTCATTACTGAGACGAATAACGTGTTGAAAACGTTCGTCTCGATCCGGTAATTGAGATGCGTCTCCATTCTTAATATTACGCTCCCCGTTTACCCGATTTGAATTATTTGACTGGTTCATCATTTTGCTTTTCCCTTTCTTTCCGTTAGTTATTGGTGGCATTTTGTTAAAATTTCTTTTAACCTGTTTTAATAAAACTTTAATAATAATTTGGTATGGTTTCGAAATTTTGTAAAAAAAATAGACGACGTTTTAGAAAACTCTACTCTAATTGTTTGTTGATTTTTTGTGATATTTTTGCATGATCAAATCTTTTTATATTTATGGCTTGGTGTCACAATGTAATGGAAATGCGAGTTACACATGTAACAATATAACGAGAAAAGAAAGTGAAATAAATAAATTGTCTAACATCTAAAGCGTTTAGCATATAAATATATAAATATAAATATATATATATATTAATGTACAATAAAAAAAAAAATATGTATATTTTACCTTTCGAATAGAAAATATACTTTAATTTAATCGTCAATTGAGACATATGTATTATCTAACTACTTCTGAAATTGAAGCTTTAGAATAATTCTTTTTATTTTTCTTGAAAATCAAAATTGAATTGAAACTTAACAAAGGTTAATACAAACTATTGATGAAGGTATAAAGTTATTCAAATTTATTAAGTCTCGGCTCCATCAGAAAGTATAATTTTTTTACACAGAACCTTTAAAGTTTTCTCAGGCTTGACAACTAAAAGCCAACTTTTAGCTGATAACATAATTATGACTACCAATTAATTATAATGACCACATGACATTGTGAATTATTATCTTTTTTTGGTCATGACCTGAAAAAAGTTTTACATTGTTATGAAATATAAATACAATCTAAAAATGTAAAGCTTGTACAATTCCTATTTATGGATTAGACATAATCTTATTTATGAAAAAAGAATAAATCAGCTGTCTGCACTTAAATAAAATTATACAAAACTTGGAATTCTATTTATGGTAAAAACCATTTAGAAATATATATATATTTTTAATTGAATAAATATTATAATTCAAATTCCTTTATATATATATATACAGTTAACTCTCTATAAATACACTCCTGGAAATCAGAATTAATATTTTTATTACCAGTGTTATCTAGATTATACATGTTATTAAACTATTGAATTTAGTCAGATATTGTTACAGGGGTACTTATTTAACTATTACTTTATTATGGTTCTTTAAGTAGTTAAAAGTCTTTCTTATTATTAGAGCTCTGAATAGGTTGCCTCGTTTAACTTACATACTATTAAAAAAAATATTATAACTTATTGACTCACATTTTATTAAAAAAAATAGTGGGTTATAACCTATAATTAAATTTCAGATTCATTTGATTCAAAAGTTAACTTATACCTATTATACATATCATTCAAATTTAAATTCCAAAATCTATTCATAAAGCTCATATTCTAAATCCAAAATATTTTTGATATCTCAAATTATTTTGACTAAGATATCTGTTGAAATTTAATAATTTCATATGGGCCAATTTGTTATTATTTGATTTGTCACAAATTTTTTTTAATTTTTTGAAAATGAAAATTATTAATAATTGTAAGTTGTAATACTATAAAATAATCAAGTTAGTAATGTTAACAAAATTAATCATAATACTTAATTTTTTCATGTTTCTTTGTGATATCAAAGAACATAGTTAAATTGTTTAGCATTGGTTTTTGAATAAGTTGAAATTATATTTAATTAAATTTATTTATTTTTAATTTATATAATTAATAATTATTAAGAAATATTATATATTTTTTAGAATATTTATATAAAAAAAAAAACTTCTAAATTTATAAAATATAGATCTCAAAAGGTTTGAAGATTTAATACTTAATTGTTGATCCTTATATAACTGAAAGAGATTACAATAACAGATGTGGTGTTAAATATATTAAAGAAAAAAATCATTTTAAAATCTTTATTTCTTGAGATATAAAAAATGTCAAATATTAATATAACTTTAGATAAACTTGTTGTAACTGATAATATTGTACCAGAGCTTCATTATGGTATATATATATATGATTGGTGAGTTTTTTTCAAAGAAAATCAAGAAAATTCCACTTACTCCATTCCTATAAGTTTAGAATTAGAAGTTTAAATACTATTAAATAAGTAGTCTTTTGTTCTTTATGTAGTTTATTATATTTATAGTTCTTTGCAACCTGGTTATATTTGTGAAGGAAAAGGACAATGCAGTGGTATTGCTACAAGTGACTCTGCAGTAACTACATCTGTATACCAAATTGTTTTCAATAGTAAAACAAAATTTTCTGAACTTTTATATTTGGGTTTAGATCAACTCGAAACAAGTCAAAAATTATTAGGTGTTAGTTTTCATCCTTTAATTATTGAATTAGAAAAAATAGTTATATTTAATAGTTCTTTGAAAAAATTACACATTCAAATCAAATAAAGTTGGTTGTAATTTTTTATCATTTTTTTTTACAAATATAAAAAAATAAACAATCTATTTTTTCTCAATGTATAAATCAAAATTTATATTTGATCACAATTTTTCAAGATAATAAAATTGTTGCTAAGTATGAAGACACTTTATTCAATACTGTATAGTAACAAGCTGGAATTCTAAAATCCTTTTCAGGCAGTATTTTATTTGCTATAGACTATCCTATAATGTTATGTAAATTAAAACAAATATACAAAACAATATTTTTATATTAAACATTTATATCAAACATATGTACATCTTTAGATTGGAATAATAAAATAATTATGAAGCATTTGTTTAAATTACATCTAAAAAAAGTAGTTGAAAAGTCAGTTGATAAGTAGTATCAAGTATTTCAAAGTTGAAAAGAAAAAGAAATCAATATAATTGAACTATACACTTATCTTAGTAAAATATATAGTTCAAGTTATAATTTTAAAGAACATGAATTTTGAACATTTGATCATTATTTTGTACTAAAAGATGTACAAACATTATCTACAAGATATACAAACATTATTCTGTATGATAAAAAAATTTCTAAGATAACATAATTAAAATAAAAATTAATAATGATGATAAATTAAAAATATATCAATTTATAGATTTAATTTTGGACAAATTCATCTAATCAAAAAAAAGATTATAAAACACTCAAGGATTTATATCTAAATGGATTTTTAAAAATTGTCATCAATTCTATTGATTATAAATACAATTAAAACATTTTGAGAATGTTTCTTTGATAGTTATAATATAAATATTAAAGGAATAAATGGTAAACAGCATATATTATCAATAATTGCAAAAAAATTTACATATTAAGAAATAATTGATGATTTAAAAGTAAGATAAAAATTATATTTATTAAATATATAAAATATAATAATAATTTTAAACTTATAATATAATTAGATATCTTTCAGTACCATTAATATAGCATGAAAGTTTTTTTCAAATTAATGAACCCAGTTGTGTTACATTAGAAAAACCTATTGTTGCTCATTTAAAGATATCTGAAATAAAAGAAAAAGAATTTGAATTATTTTTTAATAATAAATAAAATATAAATATGAATTTTTATAAAGTTAATACAAAAATACAATTACCAATGCTTTATTTTAAAGATCAAAAAAGTACACTTTGAAAAAAATTTTTAACTACTTATTTGAATGGAATGAAACATACTTTCTTTATATCTCAATTACAAAATGATCATTTCAAATATAGAAAAGATTTAGAAGAATTGTATTTAATTTACAATGATTATAAATATCAACCTTTTGAGAATTTAATTAATCTAACTAATACAAACTTTTCTGATAAAATATTACAAATTAACATATTTCTTATTATAATTAATAAATAATATTTGTTATATTTATATAAAGTTTTTTTTTTAGAATTACTGAATTAATAAAATAGAATTATTGCATTATCATCTAAAACAATATTATGAAGAAAAATTAGTGATAAATAATAATAGTATAACTAATCATGTTGATTGTATTAATTATTGTTTATTATTTATATTTGGAAAATGTAATTCTCAACATTTTTTAAGATATCTAAAATGTAATAGACTATTTAGTATATTTGAAAAACTTTCAACTTAACTCAATATTATTCATCATGATAAACTAACCAAATGTCAAAAATAATTAATATACTGTTTATCATATCAAACTTGTAAATTATACTTGAATGTTTAATTTAATGCTACATTACAAGAATTAGATAATTATAGAGCTATTGTTATATACCTGCCACCCAAATTCAAAATCCAAATGCCAAAATCCCAAATGCCGAAATCCCAAATCCCAAATCCCAAAT